TAGGAAAAGTATAAATCTACCAAAATGACAATGGAAACCAATGATAAACACTAGTACAAAATAACTTATCAGAGTTTATTATATACAGTCTGTCTGCTTTCCTAATTAGTCTTCCCTCAGGAATAAAAGTTTCCACAGGAAGGAAGTTTCTTCCATTTCTTCAGGGCAACACTTGCCCTTCCTAGAGTCAGTAGCAACACAAATGCCTTCTCTTGGGATTTAACTGAAACATGGGAAAGCTTGTTAGGGAAGCTGCAGTGCACTGCAAAAATTATAATACACTTGAAAAATAGCGTTCTTCAATTTTCTGTTCTGTCTAAAGAAATTAAAAACACTAACTGAAACAATGAGACTGGTAGATGAACTTATCTTCTACGTTAGATGGAGCACAGGCTTTGCAACATTATCAATATGACTGCTCAGTGCATCTACCTTGCATCCTATGGGAACACAGCACATCCGACTCCTTCAACTGAGCACCAAAATGAAGTGCACAAGCGGATCCTAATTGGATACTAAACTGACTGATTCTGAATTGGATTCATCTCAAATGGGATGAATGGGATAAAATAAGCTTTTTACTGTGTTTATCAGCATAATTGTAGAAAATGTGCAGCCTCTGATATAGCAGTTGGCTCCTGGATCTGAAAAGATTGCCAAACTCTAATATAATGTATTGTAGGAAATTCCAGCTACCGGTACTATTCAGAATTGCCTATTCTTTCAATTCTGTTTTAAGAACAATTATATATAACTTGATTTTCTATATACTAACCAAAGTTGGTTAATTACAATACACTGCTTAATATATTTAATAACGTCTGAGACCATGAGAAAAACAGCTGCTTCTATTAAAATATCCTTTTATAAAGGAGCTAGGTCAGCGGTTCTCAACCTATGGGTCGCGACCCCATTTGGGGTCGAACGACCATTTTACGGGGGTCGCCAAACAACGCGATCCGCCATTTTTCCCCCTCAGGGGGCGCCGCCAAAAATGTGCGCCGCGCATGGGGGCGGCGACGCGCATGCGCGGCGCATCCGTGTGACGGGATTCGCCGTCACACAAAGGTTGAGAACCGCTGTGCTAGGTTTTATTAGCATAGACTCTAATACCTGCTTAGCCTAAGCAATCTTAAATATCATCTTATATTATCTATTCTACTCTTAAGAATGGGTAATAATTAACAATTTTTAATGATTTCAGTTGTTTCATTTGGACATCTATTAAATCACTGCAGACAGCATATTTTTATTTGCATACAACTTAATTTCTTAATTAGCTTAATTTCTCAGAGAATCCGTAACTTTTCCAGCTAACGAAAAGAATTTATTTATCCCTGATTGGATGAAACGTGCTATAAAAATCGCCACAATAAAAGTCACTGATCACAGAATCACAGATTTGAAGCTAACAATTAAATCCAGCACCCTATTCAAAACATATATTCAAATTACAGGAAGTCCTCATTTAGCAGCCATAATTGGGACTGGCAACTCAGCTATTAAGCAAAGTGGTTGCTAAGACTGAAACTGTGAAGATTGGTTAAAGTTACTTTTTCATTACTGGTCATAACTGCAAAAATCACTAAATGTGGTAGCAAAGCTCGTAATGCTTTTCCTAAAGATGACTGTCAAATCTCTGCACGCATTCAGTGGAGTCCACTATCTCTATATGTCAGTATCAAATCGATCTTACATTACATTTCTTAATAATGAACTAGAACAATGGCGGCGAACCTATGGCACGGGTACTAGAGGCAGCACACAGAACCCTCTCTGTGGGCACACGCGCTGTCGCCCCAGTCCTAGGCCTTCAGCTGGGTTCTATAAAACCTTTTCGCTTTAGGCCTCCGCCACCATGTGCAAAAAAAAAAAGGTTCAATCAATCAATCAATTTCAACTTCTCACGGGAAAAAAAAGATCTCGCAAAGTTGGAATTGATTGAACTTTTTAGTCCCACCCAGTCTGCCGTTACCACCGCAGCCACGCCCACCCAATGGACTACACCCACCTAACTGGCCATGCCCACCCAATGGGCCATGCCCACCCGGCACTCGACAATGCATAAGTGGGTTTTGGGTTGCAGTTTGGGCACTCAGTCTCTAAAAGGTTCACCATCACTGAACTAGAACCAACCTTCCCATGACTTAAATGGATCTTTCTGTATGCTGAGGTGACGAAGAACAAGTCTTGATCTTCTTATGTGTGACTTTTTAAAAAGTATCCAAAGATTGCTGTCATATCTATTAGTTTTCTCTTTTAACACTAAATTCTTCAATTATTTCTATACCCTTGATTATGATTAAACAACTTTTAAATAGAAACTTTATAAAGTTAATAGTTCTAATCTCTTTAATTGGAAGAGAAATCAGTTAGAGGTTTTATTCATTAATAATATAAGGGCTTTTTAAAATGTGATTATTATTTTCATATTGTTCTGGTGCATTTAATGAAAGAAAAAAACAAAATATTAAAAATAGACATTCATTTTTCACTGTGAATAATGTGCTGTTTTTTCAAAAATAAACATATTTAAGCTTTGAAAAAATATGCACAAAAACATTGCAATATATAGTACTTAATTTTGTTATGAAACTTGTCCTTGATTACAGATTTTAAATCATAGATAGTCGTGATTATTTCTTTTGCTTAAAACATATCCTATAGGTCATTTAAAGTGTTGATGATGGAAGTAGGATAAAGCATCTATAATAAATAAAGAAATATATCTCTTTCTCTCCCCTTTCTACCCTCAATATTGTTTAGCGGCTTAGATGTTTTTAACTTATAGTTCAAATGTGGGATAGCATATTGGTCTAAGATAACAGAAATACTATTCTGACTCAGATATAAAAAACACCTTCTTTTAAATCCAGTCAGATAGATAACTCAAAAGAAAAATTCTTATAATAAACAAAAAATATATTTATTAGAAAGATTACTTGCATTCATGCTGTGGTTGATACTCCTGGAAAATACATCCTTTGTCCATTTCTTTAGACCATCTCTTTAGGTAAAAGTATGATGCTCTTCCATACCATCTTTATAACGACTCAGGCTTATTGTGTGACCTTCCATGGCCCATGCTTCTTACAGACAAAAAGATTCCCATGTGGCTTGTGTCCAGGAAGTCTCCCAATGACCTTTTAGACTCCGCCCACTGACCCATCAACATACCTAGCATTTAACCCACTAACTGCCAGACACTCTAACACACTGATACCTGCTCTCTAGTTAGGGCTACATATACGTTCCAGAATAAATACCACACAAATATGGTCAGCATTCAATTAAGTGTCAACCGTTTTGATGTAGCAGTGCAAAATTAAAATACACTAATTTTCTACAGGACAAGAAAGCTGATTGTGCTAAAGATACCAGATGAAATCATACAGAGATAAAAAGCCCTATTTACTGGAAACCTCCTGTGTAGTGACTAGCCATCTCACTCTTCCTTCCAGCAAAATGAGATTGGTTGCAATTAAATACCTTCAAATGCAGCAGCTCCCATCCCCTTACACTTACACACACACACACAAATATTAGCGATCTCTTTGCCCCTCCAGAAAGACACTTCCAAGCACCTCTGGGTTCCAACTCCCTAATCAGTTCAAAGATTGTTCTGAAGAATGAATAAAAAAAAGAAAACAGTAGTTTGTCTAAATATAATCCAAAATATAACTGTTAATCATATAATTTTATTAGTGCAACTCCTGATTCTTTCCATATGTTGTTTACTGCCCCTCCCTTCTTCAGAAAAAACTGAGTGCTTATGTTTTTGAGCTTACAGCGGAGATATATTCATATATAAACTGAGAAGTCTTGAGTTCTCAAGCCCTGAGCTACAATAACTAGCCTCAGTTAGCAGGGACCAGGAGATTACTTCCTTATGGTATATGACAGTTGTCTTTTTTACATTAAATAAACGGAATGCAATGATATGTCTTTTGTCCACTGGCAGTGTTCAGCCAAATTCCAGAAAGCACTCCAAATCACAAAAGTCGTCCATCTGCAAAAGGAATGCATCAACATTGTTTGAACTCTGGGAAAATACTGGGATTCTAAGGCAAGCTTACTCCACTTATAACTCCCCTATTTTCTTCTGATTAATTTATGCACACAAATATGTTAGGAAGGCATGGCAGGATACTTTCTCATTGGAACCCCAACAAACCCTCTCTTGGGGAGCCTCACCTACCCTTGGGAAAATGCCAACTGGATTTCACACATAACTTATGCTTACAGCTGTGCAGCTGTGTGGTAAAACGCTGTGGGGTCTTCAATACAGGTAATCCTCGACTTACAGCAATTTATTTATTTGAGTTGCATTGAAAAAAGTGACTTATGACCATTGTAGTATCCCCCATGGTCACATCATTTACATTTGGATGCTTGACAATTAACTCACATTTATGATGGTTGCAGTGTCCCAGAGTCATGCAATCTCCCTCTGAGACCTTCTGAACAGCAAAGTCAATGGGGAATGCCAGATTCTCTTAACAACCCATGTTACTAATTTAACTGCAGGGATTCACTTAACAAATGTGGCAAGAAAAGTCGTTAAAATGGGGTAAAACTCACTTAATAACAAATTTCTCGCTTAACAACGTAAAGGTTTGGCTCAACTGTGGTCATAAGTTGAAGACTATCTTATACACTCCCATCGGTTCCACACGAGCTCTCTTGCCTTCCACCGCCCCGCCACGAACTTGCGGGGACCAGCCCTGCCTCGCTTCACGCTTTGCTTGTAAACAACTTCTCACTAGAGCCGGGCGCGCCGTGCGTGGACGCTCCGGGGACTGGCAGCGGGAGAGAGCTGGGCGGCTGGGCAGGTGGCACAGCAGGGATGCCACTGAAGCGGAGCGGGAAGCGGGCAACGCCAGCCAGTTTTCTCTTTTCGAAGAGGGGAAGGAAGGAAGGAGTAAGGCGGGAGGGGGGATGCGTGAGGGTGAGGCCCCCCCCCTCGGAATTGTCCACCGCTTCCCGAAGGGTCGAGTCACCTGGATGTGGCAGGAAATCTCCGAGTCGTCCAACAGACGGATTGTGCATTTCATATCCTGGCTCAGCGACCTGATGCTCGAGCTACGGAACCGAATCATTTTCATGGTCCTTCTGCCCCCTCGCCTCACGCATTCGCAGGGAGCGAACATGCACCGCAAACCCGAACTGGGGGCCGGAGACCAGCCCTGCCGCTGCTTCGGCCCCTCCTCGCCGGGAGGGAAACCCCGAAAAAGGGAGCGACCCAGCGCCTGCCTCGTGGGCCGGCGGGCAACTCAGCCCCGAGGAGGCGGCGCCGGCTCCGGTTGCTGCTGTTGCTGGGCGAACATCCTGGAGAGGGAGAGGGGGGGTGGACTTCGCTTGCCTCGCCGAAGGCGGCAAGTCCACCTCTCGCTCCACAGAGGGCCACCGCCGCCGCCGCGTAAAGCTGCCGGGGAAGGTGCGTGGCCGCGGCACGCGCAAGCTCTGGGTTGGGGGGGTTGGGGGAGACGCTGTGCCTTGGGGGCGCGAGAGGCGACGGGCTGGCGAGGCTCCTGCTGACTGCGCGGCTGCGTCAGGCTCTGCGCTGCTCTCCTCTCCCGCCTCAGCAGCATCCTCGGCTCGCCGCTGCCCTTCCCGCAGTCGCATTCCCCCCCACCTTCTCGTGAACCTCCCGCGCTTTCCCCTGCTTGCTTACTTGCCTGCCTGCCCGCTTTCCCCTCTCTTCCCCGTTTCCCTTTTTCCATGTGCCCTTAGCTGCCTTCTTTCGATTCCCTCCCCAGTTCTCTGGGTGCTTTTCAACAAAGCTTCATTCACGAAAGGTTGGAGAGTCCAGACAGCCCAGCCTTCCATTTGTAACCAGTATATACCCACGCTTCTTGCCTCTTTATCTTTGCGTGGTTAAAAAAAAAAATCCGGCGGGGTGAGATGAAGTACAAGTACGCCGTTATTATAATAGCTGACCTAAAATCCAAAATCAAAATATCTGATCATGTTTCTCCGAGTGCTTTTCTTCACCTTTTCTATCACCCAAATATCCCTCATTTTCCCTTTCTTTCCATTTCTTCTTTCCCTCCATTTGCTTGTCACTTCGGTGCTTCCAAAGAAGAGTATTATTGTGCAGTTGCAGTAACTCGTTAATTTAATTTTACTATGTTTTAATCTTTGCCTGCTTTCTTATACCTTCTATTTTTTTTTCTTAATATAAACGTGGATTGAAAAGGAAATATGGCATAGCTGTCCACTTGCAGAAGGGACTTTGGTTGATAGTGCAAGGTGCCATTTATCCATAGAAGGATCTTTCTTTTCACGATTGCCTCTTCCTCCTTTTCCTTCACATCCTTTCTTCATAATTTTATGAGATGATGAAGATGATGGCTCTAATTATTATTTTCCATCTTGCCATTTGTCTTTTTTTCCCCTAAGAACCAAAGTAGGTGGGACAATAATGCCAAATGGAGCAGAGTGTATTATAAGAGGGACAGGACCTGGAGTTTCTAGTGGAAGGAATGGGGAAGTCGTTACTCTGATTATCAGTTGGGAGAATTCTGCAGTGGTGAATTGAAGAGCTTGTCAATTTACTGATCCAGCTATTCATGAATTAACACTGGAATATGCCACATGGCTTTGGTGGGCCATAATTGATCTTTATTCTGCTTTTATTGCCTCTTTTAGATTATGGAAATCTTCCAACCTCCTTGAAAGGTATGCCTTGAGGCTGCCCTTGGATGGTGTTTGAATAAATGAGAAAATACTCCTACCTTTTAAGCCTGGCTACCACATGGAATGGACTTGAAATGAAGGGAACATCCTCCTCTGGACAAAGCTGAAAAGAAATTTGTTACCAGGGAATGGTTATGCCATACTTAGGAACAATGAGGATTGGGCCTTGGAGGAAAAAAAAATAGCCCCTTTGCTATATTGTGAAATTTCTTCAACTATATCACTTTAGAAAGTTCTGGGGAAACAGCATAGTGAAAACTGGGAAATTTAGTTGGTGTTGTTTGTGAAATACTTTAAGCCCCTTCTTCAGCTAGTATCCATAATTTGGATGTTGTTTCTCTTAGCTTTTCTCCCTTATCCTTTATGTTTCTTTTTATTTATTTATTTATTTTCTGCAGGTCTTTAATTTTTGATATTATTTCCCTGTGGCAGGATAGTTTTTAACTCTTTTATTGATTTTAATTGCCTGTTAAAAGAAAAGGGTTATTGCAATTTATTGGAGGAAATATAACATTAACTTTCTTACTGTTGTTTTATTGTCTTTGCCTTCTTTGTTCTTCATTTTCTTCTGTTTTTTTCTCCCTGTTTTTACTGTTATCCAGCTGCCCTATGTATCCAAGAAGCAGCTTAACAGATATCACGTACAATACGCTTGGCAACTGTCAGGGTCAAGCTTTTCCCAGTTCCTAAAAATGTCTTGTTCTGCCAAGTGGAGGATGTAAATCCTGATAATATTAGCTTCTTGGCGCCTTTTTTGGCACCCAAATCAGGCTTCGGTAAATGAGGTCAAAGCATTGTATTGTGAACGGCAAAGGGTTAGAATATAAAGTATGGATGAAGAATCGTGCTTAGTTTAGTTCACTTTCCCACATCTTATATGCAGGGAAAATATATGCTAAATAATTATTAAGCCCTTCCATAAACATTCAGTATTCACACAGTTGTAAATCAATCAAGAGCTAAATATTCCTGACAAATACAGAATAAAAGTGTAAGAGAACAGTGGAATAAATAAAAAACAATATCCTCTCCCTGTGTAACTATAGTAGTGTTAGTTTTAAAATATATTATTTCAAACATATGGAAAACTTTCTGTTGTATTGACTCTGGAAGAGCAATTTGAGGGCCCATGAAGATTTTTCAGCTAAAATACCAGAAAGTTCATTGTGTTGCGTGCTTAAAAATGTCTTTGAGGGTGTCTCTATATTTTGCTATTCAATTGTATGTTCAATGTTTATTCCAACAAAATCTATACAATTCATAAATAAGAAATAATCACTTTTGATGGTATTGCTATTTTGGGATTGACATTCTGAACCCATATCCCAATAATTCTGCTCAATTGTTCAGCACGTGTACCCTAAATTTACTTAGCCATCTAACTTAGATATTTCACAGTGGCAGAAAAATGTACTTAGTCCGCTGACAGTTTTATGATGAGTAATTTCCCCTTCTCCCTTTGAAAGGAGAAATAATCAAAAGAATACCATTCACTTACTGAACTATACAAGTTTCTACAGAGGTATTGTGGGCATGTTATTCTGCAGCAAAAAAGTCTTAAAAGACTCGCATTTATTATCATGGAAGCTTTTGTGAATCATAGGCTACTTCATTAAATGGATGTAATGACGATGTTAACACAGTAATTTGAAAGCTGTGACACTCATAAAATTCTAGTCTCTCATAATTGCACAATTACATTATTCTGGTAACAAATTAATAGCTGAAAAGGTGAGTGATTTTATACTGCATCAAAGGTGCTTCCTTTTGGTTGTACCCACTGGATATAAAAGTGAGACTTGCCTCAAAGAAGCAATTTAATATTTTTATAGCACTAGGAAAAATAGTGCTTTTTCCTTCAAGATCTTTTAAACATTCTTTTAAAACTATTTTATACTCTATTCTCTATTTTTATTTATTAATGCTATTTTATTATAATTGTTTAAAATATTTCATTTATTGAGCAAGGCATTTTATTTTATACATTTAGAATCTGTATTTTATTTTAAAATTACAAATTAATAAGATCCAAAATAAAATTAAACAAAAGTAACTTTATCCATTATGTTCATATTTAAAAAATAAATGGAATTAACAGAACCAAATATGCTAAAGTTAGTTATCACATATAAGACATTTAAACAGACTCATTTTAAGAATCAGATACATTATACTAGAACAAGTGGTAGAAGCAACACAAACTGCAATTTCAGTTAAATCCCTCATGTAAAAATCTGAATGACTATTAGATTTCAGCAAAGAGATATAGATAATGCTAATTATTAAGTACTATGTACTCTTCATCCAGTTTTTTTTTTGTGCTACAGTATAATTAATTTCAAAGAGAATTCTAGTCTCTCATATTGTACTATAATAATATATTTAGGGTGCAGAAACCCACTCTCTCACTAGATGGCAATATTTTTGTCATTATCCTCCTTATAACATGCTAGGACTGATAGTCCTAGCATATTATAAAAGATTGGCAGTGATATTCTGGGAGAGTTGTGTTTTTTTCAAATATTATCCAGCGTTATTGACTTTCTAAATGAGGAAAAGCTCCCAGAAGGAAACAACGCAAAGCATCCCGCAGCATCAACTTTGACAAAAGAAAAGTGAAAACGACAAATTTTATAGACTTATCCTCATTCCCAAATGGGACATTTAGAAAAGCAGAATGTGAATAATGTTTATCAATAAAATGAATTTGCCTAAAGTATTTATTACCATATAAAATGTGTCATGGGATTCTCGGTGGCCTGTACACTTCATTCATCCTGACTGATTTGAAGATACGTTTCAGCTGAATATGGATAAAATACAAGGTAATATAGGGTCTCATCTGCACAGCTTATGAGCTTATAAACATGTTGCCAGCTACTGTCTTTCAGCATTAGCAAGTCCCAATCACAGCCATGATGGCCCTGAGGATAGCACATTATGTTTTGTGATGTGCTCAAGCAACATAGCATTTCAGCATATGCACAGGAAGAGCTATGTTATATAAAATTCTACTGCAAAGCATTTTACAATATATTTTAATGAAAAATACTGGGAAGTTTTCCTGGCTAGAAGTATTTTTTGATGGAAATCATTAATTTCTCACAGGTGTAGACTAAAAATTTTGTTCAGAATAAAGCAGAAGTTTCTCCTGCAAAAAAAAGTAGAATTTATCTTTGTAGCTGGCACTGTACATAAATTATCAGTACTGATTGTGATTTCATTGGTTAAGTACTCTGAAAGGTGATAGTCAGCTTGTTTCTCACATATTTGTGCCTGAACATTTTGTCTTGTATCTTATTTTCCACAAGATGAAAAGTTCTGTGTTCTCCTTCCCTTGTTTAATTGATGGTTAGAGGCAGTAGCCCCTTCATACAATGCTCATTATAGAATTAACAAACAGGAACATAATATGAGGATGGAAAAAACTTAACTTCCTAATTGTCATTGGTCAAATAGATAGAGTAATAAAAATGATACGATGGTTCTTTAAAGATGGATCTCAAGCTGAGCTAGAATTATTCTTGCCACCAAAATGTTAATTATTTGTCATGTTTTTAGTATCTGGAACTTACTAGACTAATTGGAAATTGCAGGCCCAATAAATAAGGAACAAGCAAAGTGGAAGAATTCTGTCTTAAATTGATTTGTTTGGGGCTACAGGCCAAGGAGCCGCAGTCAAATGGATTGCATCTTCCAAATGAAATAGTATTTATGTCTCCTTAGATGCCAGAAGAAAACACAATCTCCTTTATATAGTTTCCCCAAATGATAATCTTGTTATGGGAAAATACAAACACAAATCTAACATTAGTGTAAAAAGGTCACAAAGAGGAGTGGCTGAAAATGATTCACTGATCTAATCTAAAGTAGTATGTTATTCTGGAAGTATATGAAACAAAGTGAATGCAAATAACAGGTTAGTATTGAGAGCTACTCATGTTATATTTAGATATTTATCTTGTGCATATTATGTACTTATGGGATATACTTTTTGAATTAGAGTTACTGTAACTATGAAGACATGTACGTAATATTGAGTTCTGTCTCAATTTTATCTTGCCAAGATAATGAATCGTTCATTGGGATAAATAGCCTGTTATTTACAGTATGTACATTTTTACTTAAAGAAGGGATACAAGTTAAGGACAGAACTTAACTGCCTAAGAAAGTCAATGATATACCATGCCTAAATCAAGATTAATTTGTTTTTTTTATCAACTTCAACACATGGTTGTAATTCTAGTCAAATCTTCAATAATTTGCCTTGAAGTAACAGTTTTGTAAAATCTCTGTGGTAAACAGGGACTTGGAACTAAATTCCTCCTTCTAACTCTATAATATTTATTTATTGGTTTGTTTGCTTGGATTGGACTGGATTGCCATTGGTCAAGCAGATATCCCATTTCTGAACCACCCATGTCCCTCAAAGAGGGAATCTTCCAAATTATATAGTATTTATGTCTGCTTAAAATGGTATGTAAGGCTATTTAATTAGCGAAAAACCCAACACAGCTTTCAGGCAAGTTAAAATAAATTATATAACTTTAAAAGAAGAACCATGTGGAAAACAACTACCCAGGAAAAAAATTAAAGATTAAACACATGTAGTATACCAATAGGTTCACAAAACTACTAAGTGCAGGACTTGCTGAAAAAGCCAGGTTCTGATAGCATTCCTGAAGGTGTATGCAAATCTCTGAGGAAATGCAGTTTCAGAGGGTGGGGCAAGTGATGTGTCAGTATTATGGGACTCCCACAAGATAACATTTCTTCAGTAAGAAAATTGGAGTATGCTGACTCTGTTGGATCAAGTGGAACAGACAGACAATGAAAGAGAGGCAGTCCTGCAAATAACCATCAACAACTTTAAACTTAATAACTTGAATTGCCCCCAGAAACTTAAGTGGGAACCAGTGCAGTTTGCACACTAATAGTGTCATAGTGTACCATTGTGTGCCCATAACTACTTCTGCTGCCAGAGTCTGGACAAGATGTAACTTCTGATTTGTCTTCAAGATTAGAATGCATTGTAATAATATAAACAGTTGGACCATTGGAACACAACTCAAAATGAGATGAGCCATTTTAAAATAATTCTATTTATTTGGTCAGAGTTGCACTGCATGAGAGGGAGGAATCAAATGACAGCCCATGAACACTCCTTTATGTACATGCTCTAAGCCAGTGGTTCTCAACCTGTGGGTCAGGACCCCATTTGGGGTCGAACGACCATTTCATGGGGGTCGGCAAACCACGCTGTCCGCCATTTTTTCCCTTTTCCCTAGCTGTCCTACTCCCTCTTATTGGTGGCCACAACCACTTGGGGGTCACCACAACATGGGGAACTGTATTATGGGGTCACGGCATTAGAAAGGTTGAGAACCACTGCTCTAAGCCCTGTATTCCTTTATTTTCAGTTTTTAATCCCCTTCCTTAAAAAAAAAAAAAGCAAGAGGCTTTTTGCTTTCATATTTTAATTATATAGAGAATCTTAGATACTTATTTGTGAGCTATAAGAGCTGGCTATTGCATTAAAGAAAAAGAAGCAATACTGCTCCAGCTCAGGATATACAACTCATTAACGAAACGGCTTGGCAGATCATTTGACATGATGTCTTAGATGAGTTCTTAAAAGGGTGGAGAAGTCAGGGACTGTATTCACATTGTAAAGAGCCAGATTGGTATAGTAGTTAAGGCACCTGAGTAGAAACTGAGAAACTGCTGAGTCCTGTACTGGTGGAAGAGAATATTTGTCCCCCAGGGTTGAACTGTGGGATCCTTGATGCTCTTCAAGCTTGATTTGTTTTCTTGCAGATGTTTCATTACCAAACTAGATAACATCATCAGAGCTACAAAGGAGTGCTCTTTTTTTTAATAGTCATGCCTTAGGCACAAAGCTAGATTGTGCCTAAGTGGGTCAGACACTCTCAGCCCTAGGAAGGAGGTAATGGCAAAGTATTTCCGAAATCTTTCCAAGAAAACAGAAAAGACTAGTTCAAGCAATCACCAGGAGTCAGCCTTGGGAACTTGCTTTGGCCTAGTGCAGGGGTCCCCAAACCTTGGCAACTTTAAGGCTGGCTGAGGAATTCTGGGAATTGAAGTCCACAAGTCTTAAAGTTGCCAAGGTTGGGGACTCCTGGCTTAGTAGACTGGACTCACCTTTGTCTTGAGGACTAGTGTTGGCTTCATTTGAGTAGCTTGTGGAATTCATTGGGGTTGAGTTGGTGCCGGCACAGGAAATTGCTGAGGAATACCAATTCAGGCTCAGAAGCCTTAATAAAGACTCCTTACGTCATGATGTATGCCTACATGCATGAGTGGGACAGCACATAGGGTAACCAGAGTAAATAAGTTTCTTGTTACATTATTCCTAAATTAGCATGTTGTGTGAATTGATAATATGTTTTACTATTTCCAGTGTAAATAATTTGGGACCTATCTGGAAATCATTACTTATTTTAGGAGCATGGTAAAACATTACATTGAAGTCAGTATAGTTTTTTTTTTGTATAGATTTTATTAATTTTTATAGGGTTAGGAATAAGGTGGGGTTGGGGTTGGGATTTGGGTTAGGGTTAGGATTAGGGTTGGGGTTTTTCCAAATAACATTATCAATATTTAGCAAAAAATATTTAGCATAATGTCTGGGTTCATGTGTTTAACAAACAATAATAGATAATAGTTAATTATCATAAACAATATGTTACTTAATCGCTCAATAGCCTTCTTCTTTCTAATATATATTCAAAGTTACATATCACATTCCTTTCTAAATTGTTTTTCTAGCCATTGATAGAAATTATCCCATGTTCTAAAATACACTGAGTCTTCTTTGTCTTTTATCTTTAAAGTCAATCTATCCATTTCTGCACACTCTAAAATTTTCTTAATTAGTACTTCTTCATCTGATAAATTTTAATTTTTCCAATGTTAGGCAAACACAATTCTTGCTGCCGTTAGTACGTGTAGTATTAAGCTTTCTCATAATTTGCTATTATTCCTAACAAAAATAATTCTGGCTTAAAGTCTATTTGTTTTTTAGTCATTTTCTCCAACCATAAATGTATTTTAACCCCCAAATTTTTTGCTTTAGGGCATTTCCATCAGATATGATAATAAGTACCTGGTCTTTGTTTGCATTTCCAACAGTTGTTTGAAGTATTTTTAGACATTTTTGCTAATCTCACTGGTGTCATATGCCATCTGTAAAATATTTTATATAAGTTTTCTTTATATGCCACTGCTTTAGTTAATTTAATATTTCTTTCCCATAACTTTTGCCAGTCTTCTAATTCTATATTATATCCAAAGTTCTTTGCCCATGTTATCATTGTTTCTTTTACTTGTTCTTCCTTCATCTTTAAGTTTAACAGAAATTTATAGAGTTTCTTAATCAACTTTTCATCTGTTTTTAAGAATATCTGATCAAATTCTGTCTGTTCTTTATAAAATCCCATTGTTTTAACATCTTTTTCATATCTCATTTGAATTTGCAGGTATGGTCACCATGCTAGATCAATACCTTGTTCTAAGGCAGTATAGTTTTTAATATTGTTTTACTTCAACAATACTTGGGCAGCTGCAATTTATGTCATTTCTCATCATATTATCCTGTACAATAGTGCCACTCTGAACTGTTAACAGTAGGCCTTGCCTTACAATCACAATGGGGACCAGAATTTCCATTACTAAGCAAGATAGTTAAGTGGGTTGTACCCAATTTTACTATCTTGTTTTGCTACCGCTGTTAAGCAAAGCACTGCAGTTGTTAAATAAATCACATGCTCATTAAACAGATATATGGCTTCCTCACTGACTTTGCTTCTTGGAAGCCAATTGGTGATCACATGACCCCACGACACTGCAACTGTCATGCATACATGCTGGTTGCCAAGCACCCAAATTCTGATCACATGACTATAGGGATGCTGTGACCATTGTAAATCACTTTTTTCAGTGCCATTGTAAATTTGGTAAATTTGGTCACTAAATGAATGGCTATAAGTCAAGGACTACCAGTATTTTCATTCAAGCTGATGTTATTATTGAAATAACAGTAATGGTAATGGGATTTTATTAATATGACATTCCTACTTTTTTATCAATTCTGTCTCACATTTAATACAGAAAACGATGGCAAGGCTTCCAGATTGAATTTAGGTAAGCTTTTGTTCAACAAACACAAGGATTCAGATTGAATAGGATTGTAGCCTTCCAGCATGCACAAAAAAGAATTAAATTTTGCTGTATAAAAATATACAGAAATGAAGTTTGAGGACAGCATTAGATAAAAAAATGGGGGGAAGATCCCAGTATGACATTCGGTCCCTATCTGTAGACCAGTTCAAGCTCCTGACAAGCTCATCAGGCGATGTCCATCAGGATCTGTGGAATTGTTTGGAAACAGCAAGGACAGATTTGCCAGTGGGGCTTTCCTCAAAAAAAGAAAAAAGAAAAAAAGGTTTCATTCAAATAAATTGATTCTACACCAAAAACCAAGATAACAAAAAAAACCTCACACAGTAAATCAGTTTTAAACTAAATTATATGTAGTATTTTTAAAGAAAATCAGCCCTGACCGGTCTTTGGAAGCTGAAGCTTAAATATTTTGCCCACCAAATGAGAAAATAGGACTCATTGGAAAAGACCCTGATGTCGGGAAAGACTGAATGTGAAAGGAGGACATGGCAGAGGATGAGATTAGATAGCGTGTCATGAATTGGGCAAACTCTGGAAAGACAGTGGGGGTCGAGGGGGTCTGGCATGCTATGGTACAGGGGATCGAGAAGAGGTGGACACAACTTAGTGTCTGAACAAAAAAAATGTACCTAGTTAATACATAGAATATAATGTCATGTTTACAAAAACCTTAGATTTTCCATTACATTTAAAAATAAAATAAAAAAAATTACGGAAACCCGGACAGGGATCGAAAAAGCCAGATCTGGGTTTAAAAACCTAGCATCCGCACCTCTGAGCAAGAGGCGGAGAAGGGAAGGAAAGGGAAGGGGCAGGGCGAAAAGGTCGGCGTCGAGGAAGGCAAGCCGAAGCAAAGGAACCACTACTTGCTGCCCGAGCGCCCCGCGATGGTTTTAGTGGTGGTCATGGGAGTGAGCGGCTCCGGGAAGTAAGCGCAGCTCTTGGTGGTGGTGGGGGGGGGGGCGGAGGGGGAAGAGAGAGAGAGATACGCGGCCGGAAGTACAAAAAAGGCCGCGCTGCTTTTGTCGATGGCAAGGGAGGGAAGTTTGCTTTCGGCAGCTGCGTCGGTCGCTGCAGCCGCGGGGAGCCTTTCCGGCGCCTGTTGAGGCGAGCCGGGGCAGAGCGCGTGGGAGGCTCCTCTGGCCTCTGTCTCTTCTCTCTTTTTCTTCAAGTTTTTTCGGGTGTATTACTCCTGGTAAAATTGAAAAGGCAGGTCCGACTACCTTTGTGTATCTAGTCTTAAATGATACTTGGAATTAACTAGAGATGATACATCTTGTGACGCTCATTCAGGATAAACAACGTAATGTTTTCAAAACGAAGTTGTGGGTGCTCCAGCTCTGGAGGTTTTTGAGAAGAGATTGGACAACCATTCGTCTGAAATGATATATTTTCCTGCTTGAGCTGGGGGTTGGTCTAGATTTCTAGAAGACCGCCAAGATCCCTTCCAATTCTGTTGTTTTGATTATTGTATAGGAAAACAAAATGCATCATAATCCCCTATAAGATTACATGTAGGGATCTGAGAAATAACACCTTACTGCTTGATTTGGAGCCACTTCAGGATGTGTTCCTCGGGGACTTGTCTGTTCAAACATTTTTCTCTGTGTGTGGCATGGTTAACTTTGGCAAAATCTAACTTAATAACAAAAACACCATTGGACTACTCCAAATCATATTCCATCATGGCCAGGAGATGAACCTGTATGTGATGGGCATTGAATTAATAGGACTGAAGATTCATAGGCTGTAAGATACAAGGTTATAGAATGAACATTAGCATCTCCTTAAACCAAAAGTGTCTTTCCTACACAAAGCCAGGAAAAGATCCATTTGGTTTACACCCCTGCACATTATGAAGCAGGTTTTTTTTTCTTTGAAGTACTGAACAGATTAGTTTACCACTGAATTATTTATCAATTATTTATGAATAAAAAGTGGGATAGAAATGCCACAAATATATGTATAAAATACATTTGCATATTTATTTGCAAATATATTATTTGAATCCAGATTCCAGAATAATATGGCACCATTCTCTACTTGTAAATACTCTCTTTGGTACTTAAGCCCAAGCACTTTTGGGAAAAAGAGTGACAGTCATTTCTTTGTTTACAGCCTTGCCATAATTATGCAGTTAACCTTATGAAGAACAGGCATATTGTGACCAAGACATTTACAGAAGGACTAGCAGATGCAGAGAGTATGTTTGGCCTGGGTCTTCATATCTGGCTCTAAAATATTTCACTGAATGAGGTTTACTGATACTTGTGTAGTGCTTTTTTTGTAAAAAAAAAAAAAAGTGCCAGAATTCACACGTCATACAACCTGCCTTGCCTACCCTACAAGGTTCCATCCAAAAAAGGTGCTGGAACTCCGTTCTGGGTGTTCTATGACAAAAAAAGCCCTGCTTGTGTGGCTCAAATAGCTTTTTTTCCCCAAGAGAAGAAGCAGCAGATCATCTGAATAATAGCAATATTGAATCAGATGAAATCATGTAGTCTTGGTTATTATAGAAATAGCACTTCTACTCAGGTCCTTGATCAGTCAGTTATTAGCTATTTGTAATTAAGACGTGTTCATACTGAGAATTCCTACAATTTACTAAAATAGAAAAATACATGGCATATTATTTATTTTAGCATTTAGCCAATTGAGGTTACAAATACAAGAAATGTTTACAAATAGGCTGAAAAAAACATATAGAAATAATTTATTTTACACTATGTTGACTGCACATACTTCACATTTATATATACTTAGTCTACATTGTTTAGCGTTCTTTTTCCTAATAGCATTGTTGGAGAATCTTCTGATGTGAAAATGTAATTTTGTATTGCATGAAGGAACTATTATACGGGTGTGTTCACCACCCACACAAACATGTCAAAATTAATCTGGCACCATATTACCAAATATTGCCTTGAAAGAGTGGGCGAACATTCTTACTCAAACTCCCTGTTAAAATTCTGTTTAATCCAAGTAGCTATATTATACAGGATTACTGTTTAAATATGACTAATTGATTTTCGATTTTTCAGAATAGAGACAGCCTGAATAGTTACCAAAGAATAATGTAGAGCATTGAAAGAATAAACTTGCAAGAAGTTGTGACTTGCTTCTTTGAGGAAGTTGTTAAAGATCATTGTAGTCATCTGCAGCTATTACGCTTTGTGTTCTTGGTTATTTATTTATTAAAATTATTCACTTTCCATCATACCCATGGAAGTGTGAGATTTATATACCAAGCACACTCTTTCACGATGGCTGCGTATGATGATCCAAAGATGCAGTCATTACATTTTCCATCTGATTATTGGGCAGAACTAGTATTTCATATACATTTCACAATAGGGATAATATCTATGCTAGTTTTTCATACGTGAATTGTTTGCCAAATCCACCATCAGAAATAATCCCTAAGTTAGCATTAAGGTGTCAACAGTGTGGGTACCTGTGTTGGTGACTATTAACTTTTAACACAGAATTGTCTGTAATTTCATTTTAAATTGTTATATTTATATCCCATCATCATTTATGCCAGGGGTGTCAAACTGCCGGCACCGGCCAGACACATCATCCGGAAGCCGCACCCACCCCATTACCGGCAATGGAAAAACTGTGCTGATACGTCTTGCTACGTCACGTGACGTCGCGAGTTTGACATGTCTGATTTATGCTGTCCTCGGTGGCATTAACTCCATCACAGGCCTGAAAATTAATAAGATTGAGAACTGGCTCAGACTTCATGCTAAGTTCTAAAGTATGTGTTCTACTGTGGGGTTGGGAAGTCTTAATTTCACAATTCTTAATTCTAATTCACCTATTTTTTTAGAGAATCTTTCAAACTATCTTTTTCAGGGAGTATAAAGAGTTGCAGGGAAAAGGGAATCAGAAAAACATTCAATAGGACTGCACATCTGTTTTTTCTTAGAAATATTTGAAATAGTGAAAACTTGTCTTCTCATTTCCTATCCATAAAATTTGAAGAAACCAATAAATACTATATTAGAAACTAGGAATTCTTTACGTACGAGTGGGCTGTTCAACCAATAAATGATTGTAAAACTTTATCCCTGGAGATGTTTGAAGGCTACAGATGGACTATAAACCCATGTTTTAGAAGACTGGATTCATGTAAGATGCTAAATCAAACTAAACCACCTTATCATGATGTGTTTCTCTAGACTTAATGTTTTCTTCTTTGGATGTAGTTTTTACACATACTTGTTTTATTTTACAGATCCACAGTGGGCTCACTTCTGGCAGATAAGGTAGTTATTTGTAAAATTGTTGATTGTGTATTCACCATTTCTTATAAGTGTCTTCGAAGGTATATAAGAACTGTAATAGCTCAGTGAAATCATAACATCCAAATATAGAGTATTGTTCCTTGATCATTCACACTGTTTATACATTCAAAAGTAGCCTTGATTTTTGCACTCATCCGGTTTGTTTGCCTTGACATGCACAGGCAAAAATAGTGACACAACCCATGAATTATATTTCTCTTGACGTTGCAGACAACAGAGTTGTAGCCTAGGTTTATTTTCCATGTCTTCCAGGTCCCAACAGCCACAGCAAATCATCTTGGTAACAAAATGACATTATGCATGTGATTATATAACCATGTAAATATAGGTAGTCCTTGAGTTACAAGTGTAATGGACCCTGCCTATTCCACTCATAACTCGAAAACTCGTAGAATCTCATCTCTCGAATGAAATCACTCCCTTGCTCGTTAAAACGCACATAGCTCTTTCACTGAACATGAGGGTGGGGAAGGCCATGGAGGGTCTAGTAATGGAACAGGTCCCCAAGGCCTCCCTAACCCATTAAGATACCTCATGCTTCCCCCTCCTTCCCACTGGACTCACCTGGAAAAGATCCGTCTCCTCTCTCCCGCAGTTCTTGCTGCCGTCCAGATCTGAGGCCAGGGAATGCTTCTGAGCCCCCCCCCCTGCAGCCCGATCCGGATTCCGGAGGCCTTTTCCAGGCCGCTGCCACCGGATCTACAGCCGGGGAACGCTTCCGCGGCCTGATCCAGGCTCTGGAGGCCTTTTCCAGGCCGATGGCCGAATCTGCAGTAGGGAACACTTCCATGCCCACCCCCATGGCCCGATCCGAGCTCCGAGGCCTTTTCCAGGCTGCTGCTGCCCAGAAACAGGCTACCGGAGGGCTACGTAAGGTATCCAATCCAGGCAGCAGCAGCCTGGAAAAGGCCTCCAACGCCCCGATCCAGCCTATGGAGGCACGTGGAAGCGTCCCGCAGCTTCAGTTTCATTCTCTGTTGCAGAAAACAGAAGCCTAAAGTACCACAAGATCACGTGAGATCAGTAGCATGAGATCTCGCCCCATTGATCTCACGTGATGTTGTGTTATGAATGCATCGAAGGCCTGGAGCAGTCAAGAAAGCGAAGGATCTCGATCTTCGCAGGATTGAGTATTGAAGGCCTGCTGCCTAGGGAGACCCAGGCAGGGGTGGGGAGGGAAGGAATAACCAGAGTGAATCTTGCAGAGCCACTGCAGTTGCTCATAAGGGCGAACAACTGCCGTGGTGCTGCAGTATTCGTAATTTCCGGGCTTGCTTATAATCACTGTGGGGCGCTCATCACGTAACTTTGAACGAGCATTAAGTGAACGCTCGTAACTCGGGGGTTACCTGTACTATACTTCATATGTAAATCAGGAGATCTGACACAAGTTACAGCATTTACATGATTATGTCATCACACATACCATCTTTTGCCTCCCACAGATGCCCATGAACCAAGTTGGGTCTTAATTCTTATAATCCCCAAATACCAGACAATCATGTTGGTTGAGGAATTAAGAAGTTATTCCCAATGTAACTGGAAGGCGCAAGGTTATGGAAGGCAGGAAGTGCCTGAGACAAGAAAAAATATTGTCATAAATACAGTTCATATATATATATATTATATATATATATATTTTCAACTGGGGATAGAGTCTATTAGACATATTTATTTATAGACCTTTAATTTTGAGGGAAATCTAGTATTATCAATGTGAATCATATGATATACGATTGCTATAACAATTGCCTTTGCTCTAAAAGCATATTCTATTTTTATTAAAACTAAATAATCCATCATTATGTAGCTAGGCTGGAAATTCTATGAGGGTGATGATTATCATCCAGAGGAGAACAGAAAGAAAATGGCTGAAGGAATACCTCTAACTGACCAGGTATTGTACATAGACTTGAGGTCACTTTTATCTAATAAACAAAATGTTAGTGGTGGAGTTGGGAGAAACTTTATTAGAACAAAAACTGAATGATCTGAAGATAACAGATCAGTGAATTAAATACTGTCCTTCAAAGCTATGTCATTTGATATCTCCGTTTCCACTGGGTGTCAGTCCTTCTCTTTTTGCAGAGCATTGTATAAAATAGTTCTAGATCATGGGTGTCAAACTCGCCGTGTCGTGACTTTTTGCAATGCTGGAGCTGGGGTGGATGCGGCATCCGCATGATGTAACCGGTCTGCGGGCCGGCAGTTTGACACCCCTGTTCTAGATGATCTGATTGTAATTCAGCTGGCCTTGTGAGGAGTCTTTTCATCCAGATTCTCCCAAATTGATAATTGGCTAGTCATTCCTTTGCTCCCTCAATAAACTGCATTAAAAAAAATCTCAATATTGATCATACATTAAGTACAAAGATTTAATTATTCAACAAGATTCAGAAAACATTGCTAAAAGTTGCAAGAATTAACAAAATACCAGCAGTTTGAACTCTTAATGCTATGCAGTTAATGTGCTGCTTGGAGTTACAAGAAAATATGGAAGATATAGCAATGGCCTAGGGAATGGAAATGATTTGTGTTTCAATGTCAAAAGAGGCTACTAAACTACTACTAAACATTTGTACCTATCTTGTATGCGAGTAAGCCAACAATCGAAACTTCGTACCTAGATTTCAACAATACATGGAATGAGAACTGCAAGGTACAGAATTTGATTTCAGAAGAGGCAGGGGCACTTGAGGTCACATTGCTAATACTCAGCAGATAATGAAAGAGTTCCAAAAATACACCTGTTTTTACTTTATTGCTTATTCTAAGGCTTTTCACATGATAGACCAGAACAAATTGTCAATAGCCCTTGAAAATATGGGTGTACCAGGTCACATCATCTGCTTATTAAATAAATTGTATGATGACTTAAGAAAGAAGAGTTAGATGGAATATGGAGCAATTATATACATGGTTCAGATTGGGACAGAAGTGCACCAAGATTTATATTTTCACATTACTTAACATATTTATCCTGATACATGCTGAAATAATGAATAGAAATTGAAATTGCTGGGGGAAGCCAAACTATGACAGAATGTTGGTGATAGCACTTTGATGGCTCGTACAAAATATACTTGGTACCATGTGCCACTTATATAGCTGAACTGATGTTTCTCCCTCCCCCAAAAAGAACTATGAATTATTTATACAAAAGGTACTTTTCCACGAGGCCACGAGGCCAACGTTTCGCTTCTTGGAGGAGAAGCGAAATGTCTTGAAAGAAAAAACAAAGTCCAGTGGCCTCGTGAAAAAAACACCTTCGGGATAACTGACCTGAATGGCTGAGAATCTCCATAGACTATGAATTACTTCTATATGTGGTTTGTTTTCTATTCCAGTGTAGGCAGCATATGATTTCTTGCATATATAAAACTGAAACGACTGCTTTCTTTTTTAGTGAATGAATGTATATTCCACCCACCTTGCAACATTGGTAAACTTCAAAATTGTCAGTTACAAAAAAAAATGTCTAGTACCGTTTAAGTGAAAATGCGATGCTTTCGTAAGCAACTATGAAATCTGAATAAGATAGAGCTTAATTGGATTGTACCAAGAAATGTATTAATCATTTTGGCTGACTTACCTGATTCATATGAGTCACATGAGATAGGAGGCAGAAATTGCTGCCATAAAGAAAGACCGTATGTTGAAGCTGATATGTAATCTTCACTAGTATAATGATGCTCGGATACACTTTAAAATTTCTGACAGAAAATATTACAAACTGCAAGCTTTTGCAAATGTTACAGATTATTTCAGGTGAATCTGCATCATTTGCTTAAACTGGTCTTTCTCTTTTTTCTTTTTAGGATAGGATACCATGGCTTTGCCATCTACATGACATATTAATGAGGTAAACGAATGTTCCCATTGAAACATGAAATTGGTTTTGAGTGGATTCTGTTGATGAGGATGCAGTTCATCTAGCTTTAGTGTCTTGAGTTTGGTGAACAACTTCAAAACTCACAGCCCTAAACCTAAGCATAAATGCTAAGAATTAAATATGAACAATTTTGGGGACATGACTTGGAGTAGAGTAAGATATCCTATACAGAAACAGATGTCCTAAATCCCTTGAGTAGCACTGTTTCTCCATGATTGTCAGAAGCAAAATACTTGCAAACTTCTATCATATTAAGGTTTGCCGTACATTGATTTTTAATACATTTAAACTTTAATCTGTTCATAATAAAAGTGGACTGTTAGCTTCGGGACATTTCAGTGTTGGATTAGGATTTGTTGAACATTGTTAATAAGGGATGGACTATAATAGAGGGTTCCAAAAAGGTAGCAACTGAAAAAGTGGGGGAATTATGTGGTTTGTTACAAATTATTTAGCTGCAAACTAATTACACTGATGAACTGGGACAAAAGTAAAAACACACACAACCACACTATTTTTTTTTCTAATGCATAGATATTGTCAAATTCTAATTTTTACAGAGCACATGCATCTGGACAAAATGTCATCTTAGCTTGCTCAGCTCTGAAAAAAGTGTATCGGTGCATTTTGGAGAACGGAGAGGCTGGTTGTCAGAGTCTGAATAATCAACAAGAAGAAAAGGAGTCCACTCCAAGAAAGATCCTTTTTGTCCACCTGGCGGGGCCAATAGAGCTCATTGCCAGCCGTCTAGAAAAAAGAAGCGGACATTTCATGCCACCAAGTCTACTACAGTCTCAGTTTGATACTCTTGAACTGCCACGTGTGCCAGAAAACTTTATCACTGTTAATTTGGAAAAGTCTGTTTCAGAAATAGTATCTGACATTGAAAGACATCTGAGAAGTTTGTACTGATGTTTCTCCAGGTTTTCTTGTTTTGAAGCAGGATAACCCCAAATAAAATGTTGCTCTCACATAATTTATTCTCCTGATTAAGCAACATATTTATGTTTTATTTACTATACTTGTAGCATGAATAGAAAATCAAGCCTGCTTAGTTTTTGATTTATTCATTATCTTATATCTAATTTAAGATTTTTTTATATCATAATATTGACATTTATTTTAAAAACTGCAATTGAAAGTTTAAACAAACTCTTGGTGAGCAATCATATATTTCATTTATACTTGTTGAGTGAGAGAAAAGACTGCTGTTGCATTTGGTAAAGTGGAGTATCAGAAAATACATAGCAGTATCCTTGAACCAGCTGAAAATGTAATTTCATAGTAGTAAAATGCTGCCCAAAAAAAGGAGAATTGGAATATTGAAAGCAGCAGGACTTTTTATTCTAGGGTAGGGGCAGGCAACCTTGGCTCTTTTATGACTGGCTCAGGAATTCTGGGAGTTGAAGTCCATGAGTCATAAAAGAGCCAAGGTTGCCTACCCCTGTTCTAGGGTGACTAATGCAAAATCCTACTCTGTATCTGTCTATCCAGCATAAGCATATTCTTTTTACTGGGTGGGGAGGGGGCTACATTTTAATTTGTATTAAAAGGCAAAATCATAACATCAAAACTCACCAGTTTGTTACCTTATTTTATTTTAAATTATGTAGTCACCCATCTCAGTATGATGACTTGGGGAGGCTAACAATGGTTAAAATCCAACATAATAACCACCATAATAAATACACAATTGGCAACTGAGATAAAACCACAAACACCCGTCAACATCACCACCTAATGGATTCTCCCACACATTCTGATCCCAAGCCCAGATTCATAGCTACCTCTTCAAAGCCTTGCCAAAGGCCAACAGGATTGAGGTTAATTTATGATGTTCCAAACAGCAGGCACAACCACCAAGATACTCTTTCTCAGTCCCACCAGTTGGCACGCATTATTTGAGGGTCTTGTAGCCTGCAAGCAGCACCTTCACTTGAGCCTAGAACCATCACTACAGCTTTACAGAAAAGTTGTACCTGCATGACATTAGATTCCTAGTCTGATCTACTTTGAAGGATCTGATAGGTAGGGGTGAACTCTTCTTCATCCACCCCCAATCTCCAACACCGAGAAAACATCCACAGCATCCCTTGGCCAAGAGTAAAGAGAGAAAGCCAGGTATATTGTTATTTCATCCTGTGCTTTCAGATAACCTCACTAGCAGTTTCATGTAAATGTTAGTGGAGAGAGTGCTGAGCTATGAGCTGGCACCATCTAGAATCAGCCCTAGAGGAAGGAAAGCACCAACATAGCACTGTGCTGCTTACTCCCAACCAGCGAAGTTGATTCAGAAGGCTACCATGATTAATTGTATGGAAAGCCACTGAGGTGTTAAAACCTGACCTCTGTGTATAAGGTTCAAGTTCACTGCCTTACTATATTCTGCCTATTATACAGGAATCTCTGCAGACTGCCAGCCTTAGCCAAGTAACACAAGATTCTATGGCATTTAAAGGGGAGTCAGTTCTGGACCTGTTGCAGCTGCTCAAGGACTTGAGGTTAACTCCATGCTCTAGGCTTCCCCTCTCGCTGGCTGGAGGTTTCTCAGAACAGAGGTCATCTACAAGCCCCATGCAGTTTTATACTGTCATAGGGCAGGACTCAGACTCTACTCTGAAAGAGCAGCTCCAACTGAATCAGTGGAATATCATCATCAGGAGACACCAAGTCAGGAATCACCTGAGACTGATCAAACCCAGGCACTACCAGAACAATTAGACAAAATTCTGCCTCCAAGCCCTTGGACTTTGCAAGTCCAAAGACTTTGTCTGGAGAACAGAGCAAAATCACTCAATAAGGGTCCTTGCAAATAATAATAATAATAATAATAATAATAATAATAATAATAATAATAATAATAAATGTTACTATCCTAATTAAACATAGCTAGTGGCAGCCTGATTTAAGAGGCAGTTGTGAACCGTATTATTCTGTTGGAAACAATTAACTGATCTGTTGTTTTGTCATTCCTGTGAATTCTGGTCATAAAAAATCCTAAAACCCTTGACTTTGGAACTAGGTGACCAATCTGATTTGGCTATCTGAGCTCTGGACTGGATTTCAACCTCCTCTGTGTATTCCTGTTGAAAGCAAAAGTACCTAGCCAAGCTTTCTTTCCCAGAGACTGTTTTGTTTTACACTCCTTTCCTTGTCTGCTGTTTATCTACTCAGCCCAGTAAATTTCTATTCTCACCTAACAACTGTGCGTGTATGTTTAAAACCTAAAACAGGATACTCGGTCTCATGCCCAGATCTGAATCCCAACCAACTAAAAGATAATTTGCTTCTGTTAATCTTCTCTACAAACTTCCCTGAAAACCTTCCCTTTTAAAGAGACAATGACATCACCCCTTCTCTCAAAGAATTCACAATGGTTAAAATCCAATCACGTCACCTCCCAGGATATAGTTCTAAATATACAGGTGGTTGAGCTAGTGTAGGTAGCCTTCAGTTAATATCCATTCACTCCGTTAACATTTGAAGTTATGAAGGCGCTGAATGAGACTTGCAGCCAGTCCTCAAAGTTGTGGCCATCACAGTGCCCTGCGGTCATGATTGCCATTTGCAACTTTCACTGCTGACTTGACAGTCAATGGGGAAGTGGCAGGTGGCAAATGGCAATTACATGACATTGTGCATAACAACTGGAACTGCTTAATTACTATTGTAATGGATGCAACCATCAGTGTAATCATAAGACTTTGTACTTTATGACTCCGTTGCTTAGTGATGGAATTCCTGCTCCCAATTACTATTGTTAATACTTACTCTCCTAAGGCGTGCTTAAGTCATCTTGAAGTACCTAACCATCAGAGGGCCTTTACTCTGGCACACCCACCTCTCATTTGTCCTTGAAGGCCAATTCAAGACGATCCCTATCCAGAGAAACAAGGCCCATGACTCTGGATATGTAAAAACCACAGAACATGCACTTTTCCACTGCCTATTCTACAGGTATTTGTACTAGCCTCTTTTCACCATTATTGCATAAAACACTAGGAGACACAGGACAATTTTATACCTCCCTGCAAGTCTCAGATACCAAACCTGTCACAACATGTTGTCAAGTTCTGCACAGCCGCACTTAAAATTAATCAGATAACTGTGCCATACAGCAGTTTTAATGAGTATCTAGTTTTTTGTTATAGTGCTTTATATTTAATTTCCTATGTTCCCCTATATCCATTTATTGGTCCTACCTCCGTGTGTGTGTGTGTGTGTGTGTGTGTGTGTGTGTGTATATTTGTTTTCTGAGGTTTTCGCGGGTGTTTGTATGTAGGTCTTTGGTTATTTGGGTTTTCTCCAGCGTAAAATTGGAAGTGTCTTGGCGATGTTTCGACGAAGTCCCATTCGTCATCTTCAGGCTGTTGTTTTCAGCTTCATGCTTCAAGGAGCACGAAGCTGAAAACACCAGCCTGAAGATGACGAATGGGACTTCGTCGAAACGTCGCCAAGACACTTCCAATTTTACACGGGAGAAAACCCGAATAACCAAAGACCTACACACATATATATATATATATATATTCCAGCGCTACCTGTACTCCAAAAACTCTACAGGTATTCCTTGACTTATGACTGCAATATAGCCTGTACTGTCATAAGTCATGACAGTTGTAAAATGGGTTATCCATGGATATTTTATGCCAGTCATTAAGTGAGTCCATTGTTTGCTATAAGCCAATTTTTTTCTAAAATCAGAAATGCCATAAAACAATTGTGTGACCGTGGAAGGCTGCAAATGGCCATAAATGTGAGCCCACTGCAAAGTGCCCAAAATGCAGCCACGTGAGTGCAGAGTGTGAGAGAGATCATTGGAATTGGGTTGATAAGTACCCCCAGCAAGTATTGTAACATTGACAGGTCATTAAGCAACTTTATCCACTTTATCATACCTAATAAGTTCAAACTCCTCCCAGATAACCAAGCCATTTGAAGCTTCAATCATCCATACAGAATCTGCTTCACAGTCAGAGTCCAACTTGGAATACAGATGACTTTATGCAACAGATATCCAACAGTACAGTGACCTTGCAGATGACCCTTCAACCATGGGTTTTCTAAAACTACTGACATTTCACCACCCTTATAGCATGATATATAACTGAATTATGATCCACATACTAGAACCCACTTCGTGATGATTGAAAATTTCTGGCATATCTGCCAAAACCAAACAACTGGAGACGCTTTTGTCTTATTCAATGCTTGCTTACTACAATATGTTATCACACCAAGAAAAATATACTGCAAGTCAAAACTTCACAATATAATACATGGTGAATTTGTGCTTTATTACCTCCAACAGAAAGAGTGTTGCTCAAAGTAATGGCCCACAGCAAGTGTCATAGCTGTGACTTTTAATTAGAGTAACAGGAGATAAAAGAGACTGGAAATACCAGTTACGATACGTTGTTTTGAAAAAAGGAAACAGGTTAAATAGGTATAGCTAAAAGGGAAAAGGCAGCACTATGTTAACTGAGCCAAATCAACAATTATGGTTTGTTGTTCACATAAATCTAGAATAAACCAGAAAGTTTTGGTTTTAATTCCACAGGTGGCCTGCTACTGGGAGGAAATGACTTTTTTTCTAACCTTTTGTTCCAGATAATGGCAGCTGTAATAATTGTTACAAAGATTATTATATGACAGGATAGATGGAGAATCACAAATGTTACAACTTGTAGTCATAAAGCTACAGCTTTGAAGATGAAATGTTGCTTTTCTGTTAAAATGCATTACTGGAGAATGCTGAGATTACTGAACTCCTTCAAAGATAGCTACCGATGTTATGTTCAAAGCATTGCAGACTTAGACTTACATAAAGTGTGCCCTCTTGTGGTGGAATTATTAGCAAAACATTGTTACTTGATGTATCCCAATGCGGGCATGTTGTTTGAAGATTAGAAACATTCTGAATATGCTTAAAATTATCACGCATTTCCATGATATATTTTATTATGCCATCCGACA